TGATCTTTAAAGTACAATACCATAAACATAATATTTAATAACATAAAACATTAAATTCAATTGTATAAAAGGGAGAGAACAATATTCTTGAAAAAGGTTAAATCCAAATTAAAATATTCGATTACATAGACATTAACTGAACGGGTGAACAAACATTGGTCCATTAGAGAGGGTAGCACGACCATCATTTCATTAGGTTTTTTTTCCTATTCATATGGAGTCAATAGAGGATGCATCATTTTTGTTAAATATGCAACTCAATACACTACAATCGTGAAATAAATATGAACTAAATGGTCACGGTCCGTCAAGCCTAATGATCACACTATCATTATAGCGTAACTATATATATATATATATATATATATATATATATATATATATATATATATATATATATATATATATATATATATATATATATATATATATATATATATATCATAACTTTCTCTATTTACCACTTATACAAGAATGGTCTTGTATATTGACAAAACCATTATTCGTGCCATCTTTTACTTCAAAGTTGAAGTTGGAGAAGAGGTGTACATGCTAAGAGACACACTGGCACATCCTCTTTCTAAACACCATCTGTATATAATGGATGCGTTCATCATGAAACCCCCTACAAAAATATCAACATTTGTTTTTCATGTAATGCTAAAAAGTATATATATATATATATATATATATATATATATATGTATATATATATATATATATAACTCCTCCATTACCGCATTGAGAATACCATGTACATAGCCATGGATAACCTCAATGAGTGTCGTTATTAGTAGATCATGTTCATCTATAAATATCATGTACATGGTACTGAAAGATCTTGTATGCACAAGAATCATATTAAAATGATATTGTTAATTAACATATGATACTAATGAGTCACATTAACAACAACTTGATACAATTGATTATTTATTAGAATTTGATTTTAATAAATATTCAATAAACTCTTATAATTAAATTGGAAATTATTTATTTCTAGAAAATAATAATTTTCATTAGCAGGTAACATTATATAATTCATATGATATGAATTAATAAGTCATGCACAACGTTTTGGACTAGATAAATCTTTTTGTCTTTTACCAAAAAGTTAAAGTTTATATTTTATAAACTAGTTTATAAAATTTATAAACTTTGACTTTCTTTTATAAACCGTCTAACTAGTTAGACTAGTTATGTGCTTTTGATTATTTTATGCAAAAAAAAAATGGCTTATAGCTTATTTTAATCTTGGGAACATGTCTTGAAAGATGGGATTAAAATACTGTAAAGTGGTATGAGTTGTTTAAAAGACAAAAGACCTTATGGGTAAAGAAGTAGCTTTAAAAAAGGGTTTGGAACTCTTTCATTTTGCTAAACAAAAACGTAAGATGCATTTGTGCATGCTTGCTCGCTCACTTTTATTCATCACTTAAAGAAGAACATTTGATTATGTTCTCTTGGATCAAATACTTGGGTATTTGCTTCAAGCTTAAGAGCTAAGAGTTTTAGACTAGCATCTACATCAAATTGGTTTCTTGTTGGTGTTTCTTAATCTCATCATTTTTTCATCAACTTCCAAGCCTCTCAAAAAATCCAAATAACTACAAAGGTTGTTATTTCTTCTTATTCTTTTTCTTTGGTTGTGTTTGTTTTTTTTCCAAGCTCTACGAGATAATCCTTGGTGGGTTTAACTTGTTTATGCTATTAAAAAATGATCAAGTCTTCTGTTGCCAAATATTATGTTTTTGAATTAAAACCCAAAAGACACTAAGAATATTAAGTGTCATTATATTAAAAGAAATGTTACATAAAAACACTCTTGCCTATTTATCATGACCAATATTGTCTCGCCTATCACATTGTGTCAGAATTACATGTTGAAGCTTAGCTAAATTTTCTTCGATATCAGACATTGCATACACATAACATGTGTGCGAAAACAAAACTTCTACCGCGCAATTCTTTTACCCTTAGATTCTAAGGTCATAAACAAATTCCAACGACAATAGCCATGATACGAATATGGAAAGACATGACTAACGATAATGTGCATGTAATAGGTCATATTAGATATGAAGGCTACATTCCGAAAGTCTGTTAGACATCATTCCCCCTCATTAAAAACCAGGACCTTAATTTGGAACTCTATCATGTGCAAATCATATGATAAGGGAATGGTATGTTGGTTTATCGTCGATGGCAACTCCTATGCACATTGTGTATAAGTAATTCATTTTTAGAAGAACATAGAAATCTCCCTTAATAAATAAAGGTTTTTTTGCCATGTGTCACCTTCTCATTCAATATGACACATGGCATTTTCTTAATTTTTTCAATTTAATTTATTTCCACTTGGCAAATTGTGGATTTTTTGGTATTCTATGAAATTAAAAAATATCATAAATTAATTAATACTACTAAAAAAACGTATATCATCTCTGACTCTTCTTATATACAAATAAAAAGGAAACATGAATATCCCTCACGGTTTTGTCAAAAAACACATTAAATCCAAATATCTCTTCCTAAATTACATACACAATTCTCGGAAATCACCACCCAATTTGATTTTTAATTGCAAAAACTTATCAAATTTCAATTCATTCTATTATTAATTTTCATATCCTTTCCAAATTCAATTTTGAAAAATATATACAGCTACAATCTCATTCATATGTCGACTTTTATTGAGAAATTGAAGATTTACAGCATCACCGCGTTCATCATCATAGTCCATTATCGATAATATCTTCATCAGGTTAGCATATGTAATTATCGGTACAATTAGTGTTCTCTGTTAAATGATTTGATTCTTTTTTATTTGAATATTTGAAGATTTCATGTTTTAAACTTCTCATTTCCATGATAATATCGAATTGTAGAGATTTATGTACTAAATATTTACTCATGTTTAACTGCATATAAGCTGTTCGATTAAATGTCTCAAAGATTTTTTTTTTTATGTTAGTTTTACTTGCTGAATTCGAATTCATATGGTTTTTCTTCAAACATTTAGTGTTTCATTATGAAGAACAACTACAGAAACATCTTCACAAGATTGGGAAATCATTTTGGTTTAATGATTACCTTATTTTGCAAAGCAATTTATTGTTGAATCAATGCAAAGTTTATGTATTTTTTTTTTATCTTCTTCCTGTATTTGTCCCTGATGATATAACTCTACTATTTAAATCGTTTTGTATGCTGGAACTTGGAATGCATATACAATGTTTGATAAATGTCTTAAACAAATATGGTCACTGACATTATAATTCTGAAATTTGGTCCTATTTATGTTTCACCATTGTTCTTTTTTTTTTCTTCATTGGTTAAATATTTAGTTGTTGTGCTCATCTGTAATTGGAAAAGTTTTTTTTTTCTTTGTTACCCGACATTCAAAATGCAAGAATGTACTTGGAATGTGTAGAGGTTACTACAGCTGTAGAAAAACAGCCTCTTGATTCAAATAATTTCAATACATCAGTTTAGTGTATACAAAGCTACTTTTGATGAACATTGCTTTTTTTTTTTCTAATATTTTTGCAATTCACTTTCAAAATTATCACCTTATTTAACTTTGGGACCATTAATATTAATTTGATATTAGTCTATATTAGCTCATTGTATAATTTTTTGATTTTGTTTTAGGATCGTTACGTAATAACTTGAATTGTACGACTATTTTACAGCATTTGTACTTTTTTTGTGTTTCATGTTGCCTCATATGTTTTTGTATGTGAAAGGGAAATCTACCTTGATTAATGGAAACTAAAATTTGCCTAATTACCCTTTTATTACAACTAAGTTGCGTTTATAGCAACCTACTTTCGTTTAATAGCAGCCTAGACATTATTTTGATGCTTTCAGAATCAAAACTGATATTTACATATCTACCATTTTATTAAATTTATATGTATAATATAGCATCTTATTTCCTAATTATGTCATATTATATGTAAGCTATAAATTTACTAATTTTAAAAACTCACAGTGTCATCCTATACAATTTTACGTAATTACCCTTTTATTAGCTTTATTAACAGAACTGTCCTTCTTGTCTTTGTCATTTGGTTAGTGTATTCCTAAAATCCCTTTGTTAATGGATTAACTTATATAAATTTAATTTTTACACAATAACAGATCCATCCTTACACTTTTTGTTTTATATAATATAGATATTATAGGAAACGTTTTCCAATGTTTTCCATTGGAACCTCCAAAAGACAAACAGGAGCAGAAAATCACACTAAAAATGGAGGATTTAGAGTGAGCTTCATTCTTTATACATATTTTTAATATTCTAATGATGCTTTGTTTTTTAATTTTATTTCTTTTTACAGAGGACATGAAGTTTTTGTTACTCTATGGGGACGTTATGTAGATGAAATTGTTGCATATGTTTCAAAGCATCATGGTCATTTTGTAATGATTATTCAACTTGCTAAGTTCAAGAATATCCGATGTACGTATTACCATGATACTAATTTGTAATATTTATATTATCAAAATCTTGGTTTTATGAAATTGTTAACATTCATACAATAATTAAAATACCCATTTCAGAGCGTCCATATGTCAACAACACCTACTTAGCTACAAAGCTTTTTATTGAGGATGACATCAGCTTTCAAAAAAAGGTTTCATGAATTTTCCAAATGATTTCTCATTTCAATTCAATATTTTATTAACTCTTATTTATGATATATAATATTTATTAAAATTCTAAAATAATAGTTTACAAGCAAGAAAAACCTCTTCGTGTTCTTCGGTCTCACATGCATCGAGATCATCAATCATGTATTCACTACATGATGATTTTCTTCAAAATAACTCCTTTTACAAAATATCCGCTATTCACGAATTGAATGAGGTACATAATTCATCCCCTATTAATTTAATTAATCCAATACTATAATAATAATCAACCCCATATACACCTACTATCATAGGGAAGTTGTGCTGTAATTCTTGGAACAATAAAAGTGTTTGAAGATATGCGGACTTGGTATTATAATGCGTGTACAAAATGCAAGTCAAAGGTTATTTTAATGGATGTTCCAAATGAGACGGTCAATGACTTGGACCGGTTTGAAGAGAAAAAGATGATGTTTTGTCCAAAAAAAGATTGCAAAGGCAAAGATGTTATTACTGAACCAAGGTATGTAACAAATAAAAACTTAATATATTATTATTGAATAATTTTAAATTTATTTTTAAGTTTATATATGTTCTTTTTAAGTTACATGATCAAAGTTCGAGTTCAAGGTTTAGTTGGAGTGGTGAGTCTTACAATGTTTGATCGTGAAGTAAGAAACCTTCTGAAAATATCTGCTGCTGAATTAATATCAAAATATGAAAGGGTATATGTATTTTATAATCAATACCATATTGCTAAATTAATGTTGTTTTTTAAACATTTATTCTAATTCATATTATTGACTACTAATTTTTTTAGTTCGACAACCCAAGTGACTTTCCAAATGAGTTGAACACCATGCTCAATAAAAAATTGGCTTTTAAGATCGTTGTCAAGACTTTGAATTTCTCAAAATTTGGTCGTTCTTACAATATTTCCAAGATAACAGATAATTTCGACATTATTGTTGCTTTGGAAAACATTGAGAACAAGAATATCATTGAACATGTAAAAAGACACCATAATTTTACTACTTTACTACATAATATTTCATAGAATCCTTAATGTAACAAACTTTACTTACCCATAATATTATAGGATATGGATAATGATTCTGTTAATGTAATTGGCTCAGAATTTGTATCTCAAGACACAATGGGTTGTAAGGTAAACTACACTTTTATGTTTTTTATATATATCATCATTTTCATTAATAAAATATCATATTTTCTCTTTTTAATTTTAGGATGTTAATTCCCACACTGATGATAATACTCATGTGTCAAATATTCCATCTGGTAATAGTACAAGTCCATCATCAGTAACCGCCGCCAACAACCTCAATTCTCCACCTACAAGTGTCAAACGTAAACTCGTAGATATTTATGATCTTGATGATGACGTTTATGAATCTTCAACAAAACCTAATGCACCCCGTGTTGACAATGACAAAGCTGGAATAACAACCAAATTGTTGATTCCTAAGGTGGAAAAATGATCCTAAACAACAATCGTTCTTTGCTAATCATTGCTTTCTTCTAAGATATTTTTTTTATATTTCCTACTTTTACTTGGATATTATTTTGGATTTCTAAATTTTGTGTTTGGTAAACTATGAATACTCATTTGTGTTATCTTTTACTTTTTTAATTGAATAACGGAATTGGGTTTTGGATGTTTCCTTGTGGTACCTTCTACTAAACAGCAGTATTGTTTTCTTTGTGTTTGTTCATAACAATATATGGTTTTGATCCATTTTGGTTTAATGATTACCTTATTTTGCAAAGCAGTTTATTGTTGAATCAATGCAAAGTTTTTATATATATTTTTTATCTTTTTGCTGCATTTGTCCCTGATTATATAACTCTACTATTTGAATCCTTTTGTGTGTTGAGGTGTTCTCATTTTGGCAATGAAAATATCTACAAGGGTATTGACTTCATGTTTTCTTTCCATTTAAGACCTTTTTGTAAATAAATTTGTATAAAATCTGTGAAAAATGGAATCAAGGGCATAAATGTCCATTTAAGACCTTCATATGATTTTGTATGTGAAAGGGAAATGTACCTAGATTAATGGAAATTGAAATTTACCTAATTACCCTTTTATTATAACAAAATTGCGTTTATAGCAACCTACTTTTGTTTAATAGCAGCCTACACAGTATTTTGATGCTTTCAGAATCAAAACTCATATTTAAATATCTACCATTTTATTAAATTTATATGTATAATATAGCATCTTATTTCCTAATTATGTCATATTATATGTAAGCTATAAATTTACTAATTTTAAAAACTCACAGTGTCATCCTATACAATTTTACGTAATTACCCTTTTATTAGCTTTATTAACAGAAATGTCATTCTTGTCTTTGGCAAATCTTCACAAGGGTATTTTATTATATTTATGGTATGCAAATGGTCAAATGACTGTTGAATTTCCATGTATAAATACCTTTTGGTTTTGGTTTTTTCTCTGCCGTCAAATTATAAAAAATATCTCACATAATTTTGACCTAATAATCTACAAAATAACTCATATAATATTGCATATATAAACTGCGAAATTCTTAATATTAAAAATTTGTACGTAAATTGTGTGTTAGTTCAAGGCTTTATTCGGCCCTTTTTTTTCCAACATAAAAAAAGAAAACTACAAACATGTGCCAATATGTTTTTGAGAATATATGATATATTCTTCATTTTCACTTTGCATCTTCATCCGGTTTAAATACAAAACAATACCCAACTAAATTACAACTTTATTTTACAAAATAAGAATTCCATTACACCATATTAATTAAATTTACAAAGTATGTTCATACTGTACATAATAGAATTTTTCTTTACAAAGTATTTTCATATTCTACATAATAGAATTGATGAATTTTCTTAGTTTGTGCACTGTGGTGATATGCATGCTACTTAGCCACCAAATCAGTCGCATCCTTTACAGCATTCACAGCAAGATCCTGAGCATTATCAAAAAATAAAATTATCCCCATTCATACGAAAATTAAATTATATATTTATCAAATTTTAATAATACTAATAATAACCTTTGGAATTATCAACAATGACTTATCAAATTCTGCAATCGCCAGCTGTTTGCGGGACCCCAAAGTTGTAGCAGCGTACTCCAAAGTTGTAGCAAGGAAGGGGTGCAGTTGATGCTGCTTTATCTGTGTGGACATTTATGCCCTTGTAGCAAGGTACTCCAAATACACATGGCAGTAATAGTATGTGGACATTTATGCCACATGGCATAAATACATACCTAAATCGACAAACTTGGTTACCATTGTCTATAACTTATCAGTAAAATTATTATACACATACCTAAATCGACATTATTACTCACAAACCCTAGAACAAAGCCCTTTAACCCAAATAAATTTATCCATACCGACGAATTAGCACCATCCCACATTTCTTGCTAACTTTATGGACCCTCCATTTATCATTATCATTAATAAGAAGCCAATTATACAACTATGCATCGCAATCTCAGAAATTAACTGAAAAAATCAAAACCAATTCGTCATTTTTAGAAACTAAATCTCTAAAAATAAACCCAAAATAATGTTGTATTTTACTTTCTATTTACGCAATACTTCATAAACTATTAAGCCCTAAACTTAACAATAATCGATGATCAGAAAAATTGAGAAGCTAATCTCGAAGAAAAAAGATGAAACCCTAATTAAACAAAAAATACCTTTTGTTTTCGTCAACGACGTTGTTGCTGAACCCATCTCCGCTCCGATTAGTTTGTCGGCACCACCTCGGTGCTCAACATCATCCTGCAGTTTAGTACACATCTGCTACACCTGACCAGTTCTTCCATTTGATTGTATCGGAGACGGCTTCCTCCTACCGTGTCTCCTCCCGTGTCTTTTATTTTCAGGTGTTATTCTTTAATCATTTAATGTCTTCCTTATAAAATAAAGCAATTGTAATCTATCGGTCAAAAAGCCTATTATCTATTGGTGTAAAATACTTTGAATAAAAAATTTATACACGGAAATAAAATATAAATATTTTATTGATTTAGTTTGTATATGATGTTGGGTTGGTTTATTTCGCAATTAAAGTTGGGTGATAATTACGAGTATTTGTTGACAACCCGATTACATCACTAAAATTTTATAAGTCGTTTATTAGTATACGTCGTTCAATTAAGACACATGTGACTTTGAATCCTAATATCGCCGTTGTCACCAACAGGGTCGTGAAATTACTGAAATTGTCACCGGTTAACAACATTGCTACCACCGGAGTGCTCATCAATCCCTCTATCCTCTTTGCCCTTGCCTAATTTGTGCTTTGTTGATTATTATTAGTAAAGTTTTTCTATCTTTCTCACTCTCATTATCACTCTGTCTAACTAGCTTTCTATTTCTATCTTTTTGTTGAATATTATGGTCAATATAATTTTTTATTACATAATTTGCTTTTTGTTCTTAAGCTACACAGACGATATGAATTCAAATGAGCATAAAGATAAACGCAGACATAGAAAATTATATTTGGAAAAAAGAAGATCCAATCTTATGTCCACCACGTCAATTGGTAATTTTTTTATATACAGCCCAATTTACTTTTATTTTCAATCATGTTTTATATTTCACTTATGTTATGCAAATATTATTTTATATCTTATGATGTATTATATCACATAACTATCACATCATGTAATAATACATTCTTAATATTATATATACATTGTAGGTATTCCTCAACAACATTCACCCGGTTCAACCAATTCTACATATATTCGCATCGATAATGAAAATGTCAATCCAAATATATCATATGCATATCAACATACGAATTTGCAATCTACTTCAACTTTTAATATTAAGATTATCTGTTGCTGCCAAAGAGAAGAAAACTTAGAAAATTATATTTGGATAAGAAAAGATCCAATCATTTGTCCACAACGCCGTCTGGTATGTCTTTTTATTCCTATGACACCGGTTTTTATTGCATTTTAAACATATTTTATTTTATACACATTCCCCAGAATCTAAAATCCTATTGTCTTTTACCTACACTCTTTTATATATTACAATTTATATTTGATTAAGATATTGTTATAATTTCACACCTAATACCTAGCACGGTCAACATTCATTTCAATTTTCTTTTACATTGGTATTTCATAAATCCCTTATATAGTAGGTGTAATTATATCATTACATTTATTTTTTTATATTTTTCTTATTGTATCTTATCTTAAAATAAATGTTATGTGTGCTATAACTTACATGTTTTTTATTTTTTTACAGTCATTTCTAATATAACTACCAACATTCAAACACCATCATCAAACAAGTTTGCATATCATGGTGGTAACAATCAAAATGTCACCACAACTTCTTCATATGGATATCAACAAACACGTGTTCAATCTACATCCAATATTTATATCGATAGTCCATTATCATACAACGCCAAAGACAAACGAAAAGAAAGGAAAAATTATTTGGATAAAAGAAAATCCAATCACATATCCACCATGTCAATCGGTATATCATATATATCATCTTACTTCTTTTATTTTATCCATCTATAGTTATTATAAATATTTTAATAAATATTATGTTCTTACATGTGTTTCTTTATTGTTACATAATTAATACATATTTATATTAAAATATATTACAATTATAGGTAATAATGGTCGTCATCAAGAACGTTTTGAAGATGCTTCTAATTTTACTACAAGAACTCCGTTGTCCAACATTACCAATGGTATAACTACACTTTTATCCAGCATATTGTTTCTTACTATATATGGTATACATATTATTATAATATGTATGCATTTTTATTTTTTTATTTTTATCAATTTACTTTATAAATTTAATACTCAATATCATACTTTTATTTTTAGTCAATATCATACTTTATAATATGTTCAGTCTTGTGTCGTGACATGAGACCTATGACTTCATCTTCAATCACTCGAGACTATTCCAACAATTTATTGTGCAAAAATATAAATAAAAAAAGGAAGTTTCTAAATACAGCTCGCATACCCATTTTCGACCTAACATCAGAAGAAGAGTTTCGTGATCAACAAATCCATAAACTAACTTTATCTTCAGGTGCCACAAAAGGTAACTTTTAATTTAAATTTATCATCCACCTTTCTTTATAAACTATTACTCATCTCAACATTGATTTATTTCAAAATTTAACATACATTTTTATTAAACAGATTACTTGGACCATGGTGATCAGACTTTTGTGTGTACGATGTGTCATGCACAGTTATGGAGGGATGAAGCACGTAAAGGCAATGCTTCTGGAAAGAAAACTTCTTTTTCCCTTTGTTGTGGCAATGGAAAGGTCGAGCTTCCTCAACTAAAAGAACCGCCTAAAAATTATGAAAATCTCTTTTGTGTTGTTGATCCAAAAGGAAAAAATTTCATGAAGAACATCCGTCGATTCAATTCGATGTTTTCCTTTACTTCAATGGGTGGAAAAGTTGATTCTTCAATTAACAAAGGCAATGTTCCATATGTTTTTAGACTTTGTGGTCAAAATTATCATTGCATTGGAAGTCTTCTACCTATAGATGGATCGAAACCAAAGTTTTCGCAATTATACATATATGATACTGAAAATGAAGTTACAAATCGACAACAAGCGTTCAGGTATTTCTTTATACGTTTTTTATAAACCATTAATTTTATATATTCCATATAATTATTTACTTGCTAAATTTTACATATAACCGTTATTCTTAACAGTACACAAAAAGAAGGGTGCACATCAACTTCTCATTCTTTTGATATCAAAATTATACACTTTTTGAAGGACATGTTGGATTCAACGAATGAGTTGGTTAAGTGTTATAGAATGGTCAGAGATTGTTTTGATGAAAATCCTCATATAGATGTAAAGTTACGTCTTATAGGAAGAAGGCAACAAGATGGAAGGACATATAACATACCTTCTGCTTCTGAAGTTGCTGCTTTAATTGTTGGTGATATTGGTGATGCAATTGATAATAGAGATATCATCGTAACAACTAAATCAGGAAGTCTACAACGTATAAACGAATTACATCCTTCGTACCTTGCTCTTCATTACCCACTACTATTTCCATATGGGGATGATGGATATAGAGTTGACATCCCTCACATAGACTTTGATGATTCAACGAATTGCAAACTTCGTAACTATACAATGAGAGAATTCTTTTCTTATAGAATTCAAGATAGAGTTAATGTTTTTTCATTAATTCTTAATTCACGAAGGTTTTTTCAACAATTTTTGGTTCATGCTTATACGATGATTGAAACTGAGAGACTATATTACATACGTAATCAGCAAAAAGTTCTTCAATGTGAATCGTATGAAACATTACGAAACATACAAAGTGATGGTCGTACTGATATTTCCAACATCGGAAAACGTGTTATCTTGCCTTCTTCATTTACGGGTGGTGCACACTACATGATGCAAAACTATTTAGATGCCATGTCACTTTGTAAGTGGTTTGGATACCTAGATTTTTTCAATACCGTAACATGCAATCCAAAGTGGCCTGAAATTAAAAGGTTTCTTGCTGACACCACACTTAATCCTGAAGATAGGCCCGATATCCTTTCCAGATTATTCAAAATCAAGTTGAATTCTTTGATTAAAGACTTAAAGAAAAAAGTGTTATTGGGTCGGGTCCAAGCAGGTACCTTATAATACAACAATACTTTTTATCATTATGTTTTTTTATTATATTATAATATTATATTTATTTTAATAATTTACAGTTGTTTATACTGTGGAGTTTCAAAAGCGCGGTCTGCCTCATGCACATATATGTTTATTCATGCATTCTGATTACAAACTCCCAACTGTTGAACATATTGATCGAGTTATTTCGGCTGAAATTCCAAACAAAGAAAATGATCCAGAATTGTATGCACTTGTCAGTGAGTTTATGATGCATGGTCCATGTGGTTCTGATAATCCTAAATGCCCATGCATGATTGACAACAAGTGTTCAAAAAAATTCCCAAAGTCATTCTTAGAAAATACCTCAGTCGATTCTGATGGTTATCCTATATATAGGAGACGTAATGATGGATCTTTTGTTGAAAAGTCTGGTGTTAGGTTAGACAACAGAAGTGTCGTTCCATATCACAAAGCCCTTTTGAAAAGATATCAGGCTCACATCAATGTTGAGTGGTGCAATCAAACGGCTTCCATCAAATATTTGTTTAAATATATTAATCAGGGTCCTGATCGGGCTACTGTTGCAGTTGTTCAAAACAACGGAGATGATAATGATGATGTTTCCGTTGATGAAATATAAAACTACTATGATTGTAGGTATTTGTCTGCATGTGAAGCTTCATGGCGTATATTTGCATTTGATGTTCATTACAGATATCCTTCTGTTGTAAGGCTTCCATTCCATCTTCCTGGAAAATAAAATATTGTATATGGAGCAGACGATGATATTGAAGATGTCCTCAACAAACAATCTGTTTCTTCTTCGATGTTCTTATCTTGGATGATTTGTAATGAACATAATGCTGATGCACGAAAACTTTCTTATGTTGAGTTTCCTACAAAATTTGTTTGGAAACAGGAAGATCGTTGTTAGGAGCCAAGAAAACAAGGGTTTTCTATTGGAAGAATTCACACAGTCTCGCCTAATCTGGGTGAAGCATATTTCTTGAGAATTCTTTTAAATAAAGTCAAAGGGCCGAAATCATTTGAAGATATTCGCAAGGTTAATGGACAAGTCTATCCTACTTTTAGAGATGCATGTTATGCGCTTGGACTTTTAGAAGATGATAGAGAATATATTGATGCCATCGAGGAAGCAAGTCACTCAGGATCTGGTTATTATTTACGGTTTCTATTTGCAACTATGCTAAAGTCTAATAGTTTGTCTAAACCATATTATGTCTGGGAAAATACTTGGCAATACTTATCTGATGGAATTCTCTACAATCAACGAATAAGATTAAAGACTCCAAGTATTATTATTTTTTCCATTATTTACATTAGACACGTTATTTATATATTTTTCATATGAATAATTATACAATTATTTTTAAATTAACTTTACTATTGTACAGGTTTATCACTTAATGATGATCAGATTAAAAACTTGACGCTATATGAGATTGAAAAAATTCTACTCCAAAATAGTTCAAGCCTAAGAGATTTTGTTGGGATGCCTTACCCTGATCATGATTTGGTATCTTCTACAAACAATCGTTTAATTACTGAGGAGTTAGATTTTGATATAACGATCCTACAAAAAGAATCTCATCAGCTACTTGAGTCATTAACAGTTGAACAACGCTCAATTTTTGATGAAATCATGACAGCTGTTAAACAGAAAAAAGGAGGAGTGTTTTTTGTTTATGGCTATGGAGGTACTGGTAAAACTTTCCTTTGGAAGACTTTATCTGCATCAATAAGATCTAAAGGTGATATCGTCCTAAATGTTGCTTCAAGTGGTATTGCTTCGTTGTTACTAACAGGAGGTAGAACAACACACTCACGATTTATAATTCCTCTAAATCTTACAGAGGATTCTTTTTGTTCTTTTGGGAAAAACAGTGATGTAGCCGAATTGTTAAAAAAAATCATTGATTATATGGGACGAGGCACCTATGATTCATAAGCATGCATTTGAAGCCTTGGATCGTTCTATGAAAGATATATTCACTTGTGATCTTCGTACCAACTCAAAGTTGCCGCTTGGAGGAAAAACAATTGTTTTTGGAGGAGATTTTAGACAAATTCTACCTGTTATTCCTAACGGAAGCAGGCAAGAGATTGTTAATGCTTCATTATGTTCCTCTTACATTTGGTCAAATTGCAAAGTGTTAACATTGACAAAAAACATGAGGTTAAGTGTTCTCGCATCCAATATTCAAGAAACGACAACTTTTGCAAAATGGATTTTAGATATAGAAGGAAAGGTTGGTAGTTTAAATGATAGAGAGACAACTATTGATATTCCTGATGATATTCTCATTGTTGATTCTACTGATCCTATTGGTTTATTAATTGAATTTGTCTATCCTTCTATCGTTGAAAATGCCAAGAATCCGATTTATTTTCAAGAAAGAGCAATCCTTGCACCGAAGAATGAAGTCGTTCAAGAGATTAACGAACGTTTGTTAAAATTATTTCCGGGAGCCCAACAGGAGTATTTAAGTTCAGATAGTCTATCACAAGCAGATTTTGTTCATGATAACATCGATGAAACTTTATACTCCCCTGATATTCTAAATGGTCTTAGACCTTCAGGTATGCCAATTCATAAGTTGGTATTAAAAGTCGGTGTTCCAGTTATGTTACTAAGAAATATTGATCAAAAATCCGGATTGTGCAATGGAACAAGGCTACGGGTTATTGCATTGGGCAAACGTGTTAGAAAAGCTGAGATAATATCTGGAAGTAATATCGGAAACCGTACGTTTATTCCAAGAATGTCTTTGACGCCTTCGGATAAAAGGATTCCTTTCATATTTCAAAGACGACAATTCCCATTGGCTGTATGTTTTGCGATGACAATAAATAAAAGTCAAGGACAATCACTATCGAAGGTGGGGTTGTTTTTTAGACAACCAGTATTTACTCATGGCCAGTTGTATGTTGCATTGTCGAGAGTGAAGAGTAAAGATGGATTAAAAATATTAATTTTCGATAAAGATGGTAAACTTACCAATAAGACATCTAATGTTGTATTCAAAGAAGTCTTTGGAAATTTGTAATTCATAAAAATAAATCTCAATATTTCGATGTTTGTTTTTATTATCTTACATACTTATTCATCATTTTGTTTTTTATATTTAGCAATTTTTATTTAATTAATGTTTAATGTTGATAACATTATTGTCATCATCATTTTATAAATACGTACGTTTTTATTTTACTTATTTATACTTCTAAATAGTTAATTTATTGTTTAGATATTTTTGTCTTTATGTTAAATTAATACTACAAAGCATGTAATGTTTAACAAAATATATTATTTTTAAAAAAAAAAAAAACCCGTGTAATACACGGATCTCACACCTAGTATCCAAATATTCAAATGGTTCTTCATTTTTATTAACAATTTAGTTCCTAATTATTAGTTTGCTCAATATCCCACCTAACCTATGATTTTTTTTTTAATATCTCCTATCCTCTATTTGTTAGGTATTTTTGTGATTTGCCTTTATTTAATTTTGTTAATCTAAACTAGTTTTTTTTTTATAGAATGGAAAGCTTTTGTGTAGATAATATTTGGTATAAAAAAAGACCTTTGCCCGCCTTTTCTGTTTTTCCCCTTCTCCTTTCTTTCTTCCCAAGCACAAGAACCCTAAAACCCCTATCATTCTTGACAAAAATTTCTCACAAATCAAAAGCCATATCTCCTTGTTCTCTATTTGAAATATGGTGGTCGGTAGAATTACCTCCCGGATTGCAAGAACCGTCGTTACTCGGTACCAAATTTCTTCGATCCTCCACGGCCGACCTGATAATCGTTACACGATTCCAATAATCGGAAACCATTTTCCCGGCTCACAGAACAAGGTAATCATCTACAACTTGAAATCATTTCCAAGTATATATGTATTCATTTGTTTTTACTGTTACGTTTTACATCAGCTAGGGTTTTTATCAGGGTTTAAGGGGCTGTGCGTTGTGTGCGAGGACTTTTAGGGGCTGATTTTCATTTGATAAGGATTTTGATATATGCTTATTGTAGTTTCTGAATCCTAGCACGTATTTGCCAAAGTTTATGCTTAGAAACATATGCATTTGCTCATAGGTTCAAATTAATAAAATGGCGATGAATAGAGATCGATACAGTCTAGTCAGCCAGCTTTAGCTTTTAGAGTTGTAGTGTTAGGGTTTATCGTTTCTTCTCTATCAGTCTGTTAAAATTACATCGATTTCTATTTCATAAATTGAAACAATTCTTATTTTAAAATTTTCAACAATCCAAAAAGTACTAGTTTAGTAGTTAAGCCTATCTGACTTTAACTTTAACCCTGTTTTTCATGATGTTTTTGAATGAAGTTACTCTCTAGTCTCTAGTGTCCTATATGGTTTTGTTCTTGGTGTGTTTCATATTTGAACTTGGGCATGAAAATGCATGTTTTATCATCAGCCTCTTCACAGGACAGAGGCTGCTGAAACTTATAATTACAACAATGGATGCATAATATACAAAATCATAAAGCATTATATATTCTAATTAACAACTTGACCTTTTTACACCAAGGTGTATTGATATTGTTGACTTGTTGTATTTCTATTTTTGTGTTTTGGTAACTTTTGAAACTTTTGACTACCCTTTTGTGTAACTTCCAAAATCTTAAAAAGCTTTTGTGATTGTTGGTTTAATTGTTGCAGGTGATAACAGGTCAAATATCTCGAATACATAATTCTGTTCTTAGTTCATCAACCTTCCAAAGATTTGGGTTCTCATCATCTGCATCTACACAACCCAATGAAAAGGGAGCTTCTGAAAATGGAAAAGAAACTACAAATGATGAAAATTTGGGTCAAAAAGAAGGTTCTGATGATTTGACAATGGAGGATATGATTGGACTTGTAACTGAGAAGGAAGAACTTTTGAAGACAAAGCAAGAAGAGATTAAAGTTTTGGAAGATAAACTTCTTCGAAGCTATGCAGATATGGAAAACGTTATGGCAAGGACAAAAAGAGAGGCTGAAAACTCAAAAAAGTTTGCAATTCAGGTTAGGGTTTAATGCAATCTTATCACATAATATAGCAATGGAAACAAAAATAGATAAACCCTAAAAACCATTACTAAACAATTAGCCATTAAATTTCAAAGTTTAAAAACAAAATTACAATTTTGTTGTCCATATAACATGATAACTTCAAAGTTTAGACTATATTTTGGTTTTTTCCGGATTAAAACCTCAACTTTGTTTTTTCCCCAAAAAAGACCTTGCATTTTTTACATTTATTCCGATTCGGTCCTTTTAGTAGGTTTACCAGTAATTTTCCAGTTTTAGACAGCTTTTTTCCGGAGAAGGCCTCAACTTTTTTTTTTCCTGAAAAAAACCTTTAGATTTTTTTTTTTTTTTTTTTTTTTTTTTTTTTCCGAATAAACCCTCAACTTTTTTCTCTGAAAAGGGTTAATCTCATAAAAGAACTTATATTTGTGTTTTTTTTTTTTTTTTTTTTTTTTTTTTTTTTTCGGATTAAAACTCAAATTTATTTTTTGCCTGAAAAGGAACTTGTATTTTTTCCAATCTTACCCTTCTGGTAATTTTTTTTTCCAAAAAAAATTGTAAAATGTGAGGTTTTTTCGAGAAAAACTAAAAAAGTTGAGGGTTTGTTTCAAAGTAGTTAGAAGGTTGAGGGTTTTTTTGAAAAAAAAGACAAAGTTGAGGGTTCTTTCGGAAAAAATGAAAATATATAAGGTTTTTTTCAGGCAAAAAATAAAGTTGGGGTTTAATCCGGAAAAAACACAAAGTATAAGGGCTTTTATTAGATTAAGTGATTAACCCCTGAAAAAATTGTTAAATGTGAGTTTTTTTTTTTTTTTGGAAAAATAAAAAAATCTGAGGGTTTTTTTGAAAAAAAAAGTTGAGGGCTTTTCCGGTAAAATAAAGTCTAAAACCAAAATATTACACTTAAACTTGCTAAAATGGACAAATTAACAAAATGGAAAAATGCAATGTCATTTTTAGAAAAAAAATAAAGTTGATGTTCAATCTAGAAAACACCCAAAATATATAGGTCTTTTATGATATTATTATTAACCCACCAAGTACTTGTCCATATTTTAAACGGGTTGAGTTATAGTAAAAAAAATAATAATTCAACTCTAACCCAATCCGTTTTAATTTTTGGTTAGGTTAATTTTTGCAAGCTTTTTTTCTTGCTATTTATGTTTGATATTCTATGGTGCAGAATTTTGCAAAAAGTTTACTAGATGTTGCAGATAATCTAGATAGAGCATCATCAGTTGTAAAAGAGAGTTTTGCAAAGCTTGATACATCTGGAGACAATGCTGGAGGAGCTGTTCCACTTCTTAAAACACTTCTAGAAGGTGTCGAAATGACCGAAAAACAGCTATCAGAGGTAACATAATCTTTCAAACATAGTTTCATCAAACAACATTTGATTGAGATGACATTTGTTTTTTTCTTTAGGTTTTCAAGAAATTTGGAGTGGAGAAATATGATCCAACAAACGAAGAGTTTGATCCAAATAGACATAATGCAGTGTTCCAAGTACCCGATCCTACCAAGGCCCCTGATACTGTTGCAGTTGTCCTCAAAGTATGTGATGATTTTAATTTTTATTATCAATAAAGTTTAAACTAAATTGTTTTGATTTTTGTAGGCGGGATACACGTTGCATGAGCGCATCATTCGACCTGCTGAAGTTGGTGTCACCATAAAAGTTGACTAGAAATAACACCCATGTTTGACCTTGATATTAATTATATCTTTTGAACCTTTTGATTTACTTCATTTTTTGTATCGGATGTAATAAAATATGGATATGCATTAAAGGTTGTTGAAACTTATATTTGAGAACAAACACACCTTGGGGGTTATTTGATTTAAACCTAAAGATGTCACACACAGAGAGGGATTATCTACAAACATAGTCAACAAAGATTAATTTACATGAATCCTAAAGTACACACACACTTAATGATAACTTTCATCATCTTCACATCTTCACAATCATGTTCTTAATGGAGTTCTTAAGTTATTCAGCGTGCAAAACCCCTCTGAGCAGCCTTAACCCAGTCAGCCACTTTGTTCTCACCACCTAAATCATGATCTTCATCATGCTCTTCCATTTCCATTGGCTGGTGGTTCAAGTCTTCGGTTGATGGCTCATTATTCTGAGACTGATGTTAATGAGATAATGTTTGTTGTTGAAAATAGTAAGTAAAAGCTAATGTAAAATAGTTTGGCTTCATTACCTGAGATTTAGCTGAAAGGACATCATCAAAGTTCCTTTCGTTTTCATTATCAGTTTCTGATGTTTCTTGAGCAATAGGTTGATGTGTCTTGCTTTCTTCTTTAACATCATTATCAGTCCTTTCAGATTCCTTTTTCTTCTCCAACACTACAATCTGTACAAGTAATTATTGAACTTAGTACACACTTATTTTACCAAATGTTCACCTTTCTGGATTGATACTAAATACTGATAATATGTTTGTAAAAATTAATAACGATGAAGCAAATAGGTAGTTTGAATTTGAATCTATGGCACTGAAAATAGCAAGAACACAGAGTAATTGATGGTAATTACTTATTTGGATGATTTGGATCGATAAAGGGTAAAACTGAGGCAAAGTTAATGTTTCTCCTCATTTAGTAATTTAATTTCAAAACGTAACTCATGAATTTGAAGTAAAACGAATAAACAGAGAGAAATCTGAGAGTGACTTATCTAAAAGTAAAATCCCAATCAGTTCGATAAAACCTAACGGAACGTTAAAAACCCCAAACTTAATATGCGGAACTTGAGCTTACCGGAGCATACCGCAGCTTCCGCCGCGGTCTTTCTTCTGCTCCAGACTCCGTTTCCTCGCCGGACGGAGCTGAGGAAACAGGAGTCCAACGGCGAATTCGTACAGTAGAGGCGTTGTTGTTGTTGTTGCTAGAATTGTTGTTACTGTGGTTGTAAGTGATGGAAGAAGACGATGATGAGACATGGACCCACTGCTTTTGCCACCTTCTCACCGGTCCGGTGAACACCGGCGCAGAGCCGTACCGGGAAGATGGTCGACCGGTACGCGAGCCGATTCCTTCCATAGAGCAGAGACAGAGATTGGACTGGGTACTGAGAGTACAACTGTTGTCGAGTACTTTGAGTATTCGATCTTCAATGAGGACCAAGGAGCCATGTCTACGGTGAAAACGACGCCGTATGTCGGTTTTCGGGGTTTAGCTGGGGGTGGATGGCACGTGTGGGTTAAAGGGTCAATTTTTCAGTTTGTACCCCCTACTTTTTAACACTTTTAATTATATACTTCTTCTTTTCCATTTTTCTATAAATTTATATACACATGTGTGAAAATTCAAATATTGTATGGCATTAACAAAAACTAGGTGAAAATACAGAAAAGGGACTTAAAGCATCGGTAAGCAAAAACCTATATAGCAAGTAGTCTGGATGCTAGACTTTTAAACACTGCATTTGAAAAAAAATTGTGCTGTAAATATCTCTTTTCATTAAATATAATGTGATATCAGAATAGGTGCATGCAGGGATACACAACATTGAAGGGTATGTATAAAAATTGTCTTTAAAAATCAAAAAAAGAAATCTAGTAAGTGAAAACATCGTTAGTGTACTTTGAACCGAGTAGCAAAATATGTGATTAATGGGTTGTTTTATAGCTGTTATTGATTTAATCTAATTGAGTTAAAGTTTGATAGAGTCAAACTCAATTTTTAATCGGATCCAATAAAAGACCTATTGTAGGCTATGACCGAATTAGAAACTGCTGATTGTGATATCAAATAATACTTAGTCAAACTCAATAAAAGACATCAAACAATTCTATATTATTGATATATAACATAATCACTAAATTAATTACCGACGATTTAATTGTTTATTGCTACTGTAAATAGATTATTTATATATAACCTTGATTTTGATTTTGAACTATCAAAATATCTAATTCGTGTTTTAAATATAATTGAGTTTGCTATTCAAGTTAACTCGTAAACATTCTAATTTGTGGTTCAAATCTAATTGACTTTGTTATTCAAGTCAGCTCGTAAGCAATGCGAATTGAAAGTGTTAACAAGAAACCAATTAAGGGACTTTATATGGTAAGGTGTGACGTATAGTGATCTAAAAGGAAATGAATGTAGAATTCAAAGTCTTATAAACTATGGGTGTAAACGAGCCGAGTCGAATCGATTATTGTCCTGAAGCTCGACTCGATTAAAATACTCGAGTTAGAAGCTCGACTCAAACTCGTCTTGAGCCTAAATTTGAATCTCAGACTCAGCTCGTTAAATATTCGATACCGGCAAGTTCGACTCGACTTGACTAACTCGACTAAGCTAAATTAAAATCATTAAAGTTTAATAAAAAATTAAAAATATTTCACATACTAATACATTGTCCATACTAGCAAATAATTCACAATAAACTATTTAATGTAAATATAGCATCAACCATCTATATCATTGTCTTTATTTATATCCAAAATATCAAAAAAAAAACCCATTCTACCATCTTTTTTTTTTTTTTTTTCAAAAACAATGACAAAATTGCAAAAATAGTCATTGTAATTTGTCAAAAATTGCTACTTGCATATAATTTTTTTTGGACTAGCACTGTTGGTCCAAATTTTTTTTTTTTTTTTTTACAAATTTGGACTAGTACTATATATATATATATATATATATATATATATATATATATATATATATATATATATATATAGTATTTCGCCAGAAACCACTCCCATTGTCAAAAACCATCGTCACTGCTAGAAATCGCCACTATGGAAACCATTGTCGTTGTCGCTGGAAACCTCCACTACGTCTTTGAATTCACCTTCGTAGTCAAGCTTTTTGATGATCTACAAGACGACATGGACCTCTTTGTCGGAACGCCTTTGATCTGAAAACCCTTGTCGAAATGTCGCCCTCGTCTTCGATGACGTTGAGCTCCATTCTTCGACGACGTTGTTCTGATATTTCAATATTTGTTCGTTGTCAATTTTCAAATCTACATCGATATGGAAGATACATAAAACCCTAGCAACCACCGTTGTTACTTGACTTCACCGGTGTCACCCATTTCGCCACCGTCATCGTTTTCTGAAACCTTAGCTCCGCCTTCGATTTGCATAGGCGGTTTGAACTTGAAGTTTATAAAGTAAAACCCTTTTTGAAATCTATGTTTTTGATTAAGGATTTAGGTTTATTGAAATATTTTTTTGGGAATTGAAACTCTAGATTTTATAAATGGAGATTGTTTATATGACATTCCCATTTTCACGGTCAGAAAAGACTTTTTTATTTATGCTTATTTTAAAACATAGTATTCTTTATATTGTGGAGTTTGTCCCATAAAAGTATTTCTGAAGAAATGTTTTCCGTTGATTATTAAAACTTGGGATGTCATAATTGATACAAGAAACATAAGCATAAACATAGTCATTATAGGCCTTACAATTTCTTTTATACTATGGCATATCATTCCTCGAATCTCTTATCATGTCTGAACATCATTATCTTTGTACTGCTTCCTATGATACAAAGAAACTAAGTATAACAGGTGACAACTTATCATTTCACACAACCTTTTACAACCTAATATTTTCTTTTATGCTATGCACAACAGTAAATTAGTATTTTAGGTGAGTACAACAATACGATAATACTTTAGTGACAACACAACAGGTCACAACTTATCATTTCACACAACCTAGGAAAATTGGATGCCATGTATTATTTGGAATCGATGTTGACTCTATTATTTGCTAAGTGTATGTTTTCAAAGTTATATAAGAGTAGGAATGTATAACCCTAGCATGATGGATTCTGCCTCATTTCACGTTCCTTGTTTGGTTGTGGACTTAGGGTAAAAAATTTATTTGACAGTCTATGTGATCCTGTTTGTGTATAACTTGCATGCATAAGGCAACCAACGGTGTTGATTGAGGTTTCTGGTTCTGTGAGGATTGAGAAATCCGAGAAGAGTCTAGGATATGTGTGTGCTATGTTGTATGAGTTATGTTTCTAAGTATAGTATGGTGAATTGGAGGAATCAGGTCTGACCGTGAGGAAGGTATATGTAGGTGTGAAAAGTAGTATTGGGTACATACTGTAACGCCTGCAGATCCAGGCTAGTTAATTTAGAGACGATAAGCTTCAAAAATGACTTTCTGATGGAAGATTATTAAGCAGGAGTAATCTTAACTAAGTTGTAGTAGTCGTGACAAGGGTTCTGAATATATAAAGAATGCCGAAATATGAGTTATAACGAAGAAGTTATGACCTGTCAAAATTTCGCAACAGAACCGGCATGACACAGCGCGACGTAAATAGTGAATTTACAATAGAGCGATATTTGGCCTTAGCAATCTAAACGAAAGTCCTAGAATACGTTAAACCGAGAGCGTGCATAAAAATAACGTCCAAATCTGACTTCGTATGAGGAAGTTATGATTTTTCTAAGTTTCAGCTTAGCGTATGCAGCCTAATGTTCGAAAATGAGATCGAGTGGTTTCTAGCCGAAACAATCTAAACAAGAATCGAAGATCTCGTCGATAGTAGTGCAACAGAAGAAAGATAGATGAAAACGGACATCGGATAAAGAAGTTATGAATTTCTAACGGAGTTTTCCTGTCCCGACCTACTAAAAATAATATAATGAAAATGAACTCAAAATTTGCCGACGGAGTCTAAACGAGATTTGTAGAGCATAATCTCACCTTCGCTTGGATATAAAGAACGTTGAAAACGGATCTCGTATGCAAAAGATATGAATTTATAAAGTACGAGGCACGCTTACTATAACCCCCACAGATCCGGGCTAGACAATTTAGAGAAAATAAGTGTCGAAAACAACTTTTCGACAAATGAATATTTAGAATAAATAATCTTAACTAAGTTTTAGAATATATCTCAAGGGTTCCGTACATATAAAGAAAGCCGAAATCTGAGTTATAACGAAGAAGTTATGACCCGTCGAAGTTTTACGGCAAAACCGACACGACATCGGGAGACGTAAATAGTGAATTTACGATAGAGGAATTTTTGGCCTTATTGATCTAAACAAAAGTTGTAGTATACATTAAACCGAGAGCCTGCATAAAAAGAACGCCTAAATCTGACTTCGTATGAGGAACTTATGAATTTTCTAAGATTTGGCATAGCAGTGCACGACCTGATACTCGGATTTTAGATCGAGCAGTTTTTGGACTATGTGACCTAAATGGGAGTTGAATATCTCATTAATAGGAATTCAACTATAAAAAGACAGACAGAAACGGAGTCTGTATGGAAGAGTTACAAATTTTTCGCGGTCATTTAACAGTATAATCTCCTCATACTATTAAATTTAAGATCGGTCGAGAATTAGCCGACGGAATAAATATGAAAGTTGTAGATCATATTTTTATCTACGCGTGGATATAAAGAACGTCAGAAACAGAGCTTGTAGGCGAAAGATACGGACGAAGCTTAGTCTCTACTCTTCGAACGCGACGAATTCGATACAGTTTTGTAAATCCAAGATAGAATGAGAATTAGCCAACAGTGTCTAAATGAAAGTTGTAGTACTCATAAATACCAACACGTGGATATAAATAACATCGAAAACGGCGCTCGTATGCGAAAGATATGGACGAAGCTTAGTCTCTAATCTTCGAGCGTGATAAAGACGATACAGTTTTTGTAAATCTGAGATAGAACGAGAATTAGCCGACAAGGTCTAAATGAAAGTTTTAATACTCGTAAATACCAACACGTGGATATAAATAACGTAGAAAACGGAGCTCGTATGCGGAAGATACGGACGAAGCTTAGGGACTACTCTACGATAAAACTCCTATAAATAAAGGATGAATCCTTCATATTTTCTTCACACCATAACCTTTCTTTTTCTCTCTAACTTCTCTCTAGCCTCCCAAAACCCCTCCCAAGTCTAGGGAACCTCCCTAGCACGAGAAGGAATCTCCGGAGTGCCCGACGGCTTCGAGAAGAAAAGCTTTCGGCTCAGAAACGCTGCTCCAGCGAAGCCCGGTTTTGAGAAAAACCCGTTGTTCTGTCGAAGGAAATTGTTTTAAGAGTTACGAAGCGTTG